ATTAATTCAGAAAATCATTTCAGGACCCCACCTTGATGTTTCGGGACCCCACTTTGGGTCCCGACCCCAACTTTGGGAAACACTGCCCTAGTGGGTTATCAGTCCCATAGAATGGCTTCAGACTGTCAGCTGGTTAATATGAGGCATAAAGCCACTAAGGTTAATTTTAGAAAAAATGACCTGGGCAAGGTTAAAGTAGACCGGAGTCTGGCAGACAGTTGCCTTCCACTGTATTAGTAGGTAAACAGTCTGAAGCCATTCTATGGGACTGATAACCGATAACATCCATTTAATGGACTGATAACATCCAAACAGGCTGGTTTTATTTAAATTGGATGCAAATAAATAAGCTAATGTCTGACAACACCATAGCTGAAAAATCTAGTTTCTAACTTTGCTACAGATTTAAGTCTTCTTTTTTGTTGGATGATTCAGAAAAAAAGTAAATCTATTATGAACAAAAACACTCAGCTCTACATCTCATTTTAATTTTAATATAATGTGCATTAATGTACGCTGTATCACTATCGCAAAAAAATTATAATAAATTGTAAACAAAAATGCTGATAATATATTTGGTTATCAGATTTCCCCCCACTGTCCTAAATGGCCTCAGCAGACTTGAATGACTGGTCGAAGTGTGAAAGTACATGGAGAGTGTTGAGAGTATTRCGGTAAAAAAAAATCAAAAAATAAAATCATTTAAAATGTGAGCAAACGTGGTTTTATCCCAGTTGATATAGTCATTGATAAAATGCAACAAAACTCTTAATTTTCCAATATTGTGAAGTTCTTTTAGATCATTTCATTGATATGAAGCTCTTGGAAGAAATATTGATTTAATATCATTTATTAAGGTTATTTAAGTTTATAAATAACTACAAGATGTGTATTTGTATTACAACTATAGGACTCGTTTAAACTCTAAGCTTTTTCTGCTATAAATCCAGCTTCAACTATTAAAAAGCTTTAGTTGAACTTGATGTGCCAAAAACATACAGCATAAAATGATAGCCTTGTAGGAGGCTGTGCCTACTTGAAGAACTAAATAATAAGCAGAAAAAAAATGAGAGCGAAACAAAAAAAACAAAGACAACTTCAAACTCAACTAAAGCTAATGGAAAAATATTTTATCTAGCCAAAAAAAAGAGAAAGGTTAACTTATGTTTCCATCAATATTTTGCTCACCAAGGTCTTCATCAATAAAAATGCTTGTGTGTGTGTGTTCGTGTACGTCAGTCCGCACTCACTCACACACACACACACACACACACACACACACACAC